TTATCAACGTTTCTCTACTTACGACTACGTCATTTATGTCAATTTTACACTGAAGATGGCCACATCTTAGGCCGAAACGTTTGTAATAATTAGGGCGCGGATGTTCGTGCACGATCCCGTGTCGCACGCAGCGGTTCTCTGCGCGCAACACGGGATCGTGCACGAACATCCGCGCCCTAGTAATAATTCTTTAATAGAATTATTAGCTTGTTGTTTTCACGATCTATTAATAAAATTTCCCCGGAATTAAAGTAGAATAAATCATTAATCTTGATTTTCTGGTACTTTGTAAACACAGAATTCTGTATTGAATTAAAAATTCAAATTGAGCTTAATCGGTGTTGACGGAACCGTGGCCGTCAGATTCTGAGTGTTCTGATGGAAGATTTCTCGTTGAAGATTGTCCAGTCCACGCCGCCAGCCGTACCTGTCCAGGTGCGCAGCAAACACGATGGCTCGGGGGTGGCGGCTTCAGTGTCGGGGGTGCGCAGACGGAGCGGCCCTCAAGGAGGGCTACGTTCGCCCGCCGCGAAGAGGCCCGTCTCCGCTCCCGTCGCACTTCAGGGTTGGCTGCATAAACAGGGCTCGGAAGGTCTGATGCTCTGGAAGAAACGATGGTTCGTTCTCTCCGAGTACTGCCTCTTTTATTACAAAGGTAAGTCGTGCGCGACGCGCCATTCACGTATTTTTGTTTTGTATCTTCGATACTTTATACCATTCAGCGTAATGTCATGTATAATTATAATAAGCATTGTTATTCCGAATCGAGTAGCTTGTTTGGTATTCAGATCCGACGACTGAACCATTTATTCGCCGCGCAATTAACAATCAACATTGTGAACCGGCGTGATCGTTAACAATTATCCGAGGAGCGTCAATTAGTAACCAATTCGACGGAAATTAAAACTAATCGTTGCAGGCGCCCATCGATCGTGTCGCGAAAAACGGGCGTAGCAACACGGACATTCATCTTGAATGTATAAACATTTCTGAAATTGAAACTCGTAGTGTTTCAGATCGATTAGAGATTACAGTCTGCTTCCGTTTAGTGCTTTTTATTTTCGCGCGTTCGCGAAGCGAAGCTGCGCGAGCGCATTATTGGCGCGCGGCCAAGTCTCCGTTTTACATCTTGCTCGTTGCGGAGTCGCGCGGACGACCAATTTCCGGCCGTCTTGGTTGCCGTTGCTCTCCTAATACGACCCGACTGCGAGTGCTAATTACACCCGGCTCTTTGATTCAATACGTGCACCGAACACCACGGTTGCAGCATCGCGCGGTCAGAGACGCGCGAGAGATGTGCTTCGTTAAAGGTACACACGCCGTCCGCCATTATCCCAGTTTGTCTTGCGACGTCATCCGACAAGAAGGAAGTTCCCGCTGCAAGTTCGCTAGCGGTTCGATGCGTCGTTTACACTGGCGGAACTTTAGTTAAATTAAATTCGACGGATACCACCCCCTAATTAACGGCTCGCCGGGCCTCTTCGTATACTCTTGCCCGCAAAAGCACCGGAACTAATACTCGGCGCAACAAACTCTTCTCCCTATCAACCCGAGCGCTCGTAAATAGAGAGTCTGTTTAACACGTTGAGAAGACGCTGAAGATTGGCGATTCCGCTTTGAGCGGGAAAAAATACGTTAGCGAACAGTTATTAATTTCTCGCGCGAAAGCGCACTTTGATCGCCTTACAATCATAATTGAGTTTGCCACAATTTCAGTTTTGCTTATCTAAATGATTAAAGTTTTGACAGGGAAATAATTTGCGCTCCCCTGGCTATTAAAATACGATAAAAGAACATGGCTGAGTTAATTGAGATTCCGATCTATGATTGGTAAAGCATTCGTTTATCACGTTGATACGTTCATCTAGCGTTTGTCGGATCGTTCGCCGCTAGGAATTCATTTAGACTGAAATTTCAGCTTGTCCGAAACGCAACGTAGAGAAATTCAATTTGCTCGTCGAGATTTCGTGGTTATATATATATATATATACATATATATATACACGCCGTGTACGTGCATTCAAATTCCGTTATTTGACTGTGAAAGCTAACTTTTTATCTTTTTAAAATCAATGTTATTACAATTATAATTATTATCGTAATAATAAATTGTAAATATATTTATTCTCGCAAATATTTGAAACAAATGTTCTCTGATGCACGTGTGTCATACATCGACCATATCGCTAGAAATAGAGGAAAAATATTTTGAAAGTCAGAAAGAGAGTATTGCGTTCGTATCATCAAATAATATATTTAATACTCATCAGGATTGAAAACAGGATGTCGCTGCGAATATTTTTTGCGCTTGATCCATTATACGAACGAGATATATCGTACATTTGGGATTTTATTCATTATAAAAGACAAATGAATCGTGTCCATCTTGCGATCAAAAATTCAAACACATCGAAGTATTGTGACAGAAATTTACGAGCTTCTGTGTGAAAAATTGACATTATCGACCGATCCTAATTTTAAGAATAAAGCTCCTTTCGCGGTAGCCTTCAAAGGCGATGTAATTTACTAATTTTCAGGTCCGGAAGAGGAGAAACTGCTAGGTTCTATATTACTACCCTCGTACAGAGTTACCGTCTGCAAACCCGAGGACAAAGTCAACAGGAAGTTCGCCTTCAAGGCCGAACACGCGAACATGAGGACTTACCACTTCGCGGCTGACAGTCGCGAGAGTATGAACCAGTGGATGAATGCTCTGACTTTGGCCACGCTTTTGCAAGATCCCAACCCGTAAGTCCTCTGCAAACACTTCTTTAATTATACGGAAAAATTTACGCGAAACGCGGCAATTATATTATAATGTTATGCACAAAATTAACAATTTTACTAGATGCAAAATTTAGAAGTTATTATTTTAACAAGCGAGAAACATACATCTTTCGATGTTTAATAATAATTCGTTTGCAAAATGAACATTTTGACATTTATCAGCGTATGAGTTGAATAAATTAACGAATGCGACACGTAGCGATGAGATTGATATAGGATCATTTATTTTCGTTATTTTCGCGTTAAACGTTCTCGCTGCCACATCGGCTCGCGTGAACACTTTAATTCTTCATCCGCTGCGTCCATTTGCGATAATTTTTCGTTTGCCTCTCGCTTTACGTTATCACGCCCAATTGCTTTTCGAAATTCCAAACAGACGTATTAAATCTTGATTCTTGTTTACATTCGATTATTTTCTCTCATATAACGATTTTCGAAAATTCAGGAATTCTAATACGCTTTAACATTATGAAAATTTCGCAGTGCCCGTTGTAGACGCGCACTGGAAATCTTTCGCGATCCATCCTTGATGAAAATCGTCTATCTCTTATCTTGGCCGAAAATGCAATAGCTTCTTAATGTCACGGCTAAAAGATGTAATCTCGCAAGACGACATATTAGGCATTAAACTTGATCAGAAATGGCATCCGGGCGAGGATCCCGAAATTACGTTGCGACAGAGTGGCGTCGAGATAGCTCTTTGAGATGCCATAAAGGAAATTGGGAACGGCAGCAGCCATCGACGTTTATTTGTACGCGAAAATATCGCGATGGAGCTGCGCGCATCTGTCGCTTGCGCGTTATCGCGGTGTAACTAACCAACTCGTTAGTTAGTTAGTTCCTCGAGAGTTATTCGCCCCGTGAAACACCGTGGACGGACCGGCCCGTTGTCCATTAGCACGTCGTCAGCGACACGCCGGCGCAGCGGCGGACAATGAACGCCTGTTTCGTGAGCTCGGTCGTTGTCCATTTTCCGGCTGAAATTCAATTTGCACGACCGAAAAGTAGCGAAAACGCAGGTTTTTAGTATGCGCGTCGGAGCAATCGGAACAATGGCGGGAATTAGTCCCTCCGCGTTCGGCAAGACGTGGAATTTTGCGGACCGTTCGAGTCGGCGCCATCCGCGCCGATGAGTCCTAATTCGAATGCGGAGAGGGGAGCGTGGGAAAAAAATTAAACTTCCTTGTTCATATATTTGATTTCGATGTCGAACTACGAGCCGGATTTAATCACTGATAATTCCGTCGATCGAAACTCCGCCGCGGCGCGACGAAGGACTTCAACGCGGGCTAAATAATATTTCGCCCCTGGACTTTTTTACGTTTTCCCAGTGGCGCGGGCGAGGCCGCGATGGTGATAGAGATAGCCGGGCAGCAGGACGGCGAGCGGAGCGCGCGACCCAGCGTCTCGTCGATCTCGTCGATCCTGAATCAGAGCGCCGACGACAGCGACTCCGGCTTCCACGGCTTCCAGTCGCGCGACGATCCCAGCCACGCCTCGAACAACAATTCGAGCCCGAACAGCGCGAACACTGCCTCCTTCCCGAATCTCAGCGGCAGCAACAGCAACGGCAACTCGGCCAACAACAATCACGGGAGCGACTCGGGTCATCCGATGATGAACGGCTGGGTGCAGCAGCCGTCGCAGTACGGCCAGCCCGGCACCTCGCAGCCGCAGCAGCAGCAGCAGCAGCAGCAACAGTACGGACACTTGCTGCCGTCGCAGCAGCTGCAGCCGGGCCACTCGCACCAGCACCAGGCGCTGCTTCACCAACATCTCACGGCCGCGTCGCATCAGAACGCGTTCCCGACGCATCCGCACAAGCACATGCTCCAGCAATCGCCGCAGCAGCAGCAGCAGCAGCTCCCGCATCCAGGCACCGGCGTGGTAGTTCAGACGGCGCAGCCGATGTCGCGAAAGTTCGGGCAGCCGATCTACGCGAACGCGCCGCCGAAGCCCAGAAGGCTGACGGACGGCTCGAACGAGTACTCGACCCCGTCGCCGGATCCGGACTACCGCAAGAGCCCGGTCTCGCCGGACGTCACGGTGACGAGCAAGAGCCCGATGTCGGACTACGAGCGGAGCAACACGATCTACGGCGCGCGGATCGGTCAGCCGTCGCAGCAGAGTCTGCGGACTGACAAGTCGGGCTTGAACTACGGCTACGGTCAGGCCGTTCAGCAGACGGAGAGGAGGACTCCGGACACGTACGGTCGCAGCGCGAAGCCGCGCATCAGCGGCAGAGGCAACGGCGATTACGAGGAGGTGTACGGCACCCCTCAGCTCTACCAGAGGCCGGCGGGGCCGGTGGGCTACACGAAGGGCGCCTCGCCGGCGCCCATTCCCATCCCCGTCTACACGCAGCAGCAGCAGCAGCATCTCCAGCAACTGCACTCCCCCGTCACGCCGCTCAATAGTAAGTCTTTTGTGCACCTTCCTTCTCTTCTTCTGCGCAAAGGAGCGAGTAATTAGTATCGGCGAGTGTCGGTAGTTTCCCGAGAGCGAAGACGAAAATATTTTGCGCGAATGTATGAATGTTCGAAGCGAACTTTCTTATCGAACACTGTCGACACGTGTTGTCGCATAAGTGTGGGTTTTACTGAAAAAATATTGCGCTGTTATTAACGGCTTCCAGCGCTTTATGGCGTCACTTTGACATCCATCATTTTTAGATCCTCAAAGTCGCCGCTTATTTATCGCGAAACTGCGAAAGGTTGGTCGCATCTTTTTCATTATGAAAATAATCTTAATTAAGCGAGGACACTCTCGATCCGTAAGCTGCAGTTTGAAATCGATAAGAAATTGTTTTGGAGATAAATACTGATTTTACACCATCGCGTTATGATAATAATTGCAACGATAATAAGGCGCGACCTAGATCTTCCCTTTTGCGCGCCGCTGTTCTCACGATAAAATTCAATCTCTCCTTTTTCCTCGTGTTACAAAGAGCGTCGGGTAACGTTGTAATCTAGTCGAGAGCTCGACGCGGTAATACAAAAAGGGCGTTACAATTTGCTTTCTTCAGTCCCGATGGTAAGGCAAGCCAGAACGCAACCACCGCCGCGACCGCACAGCGCGGACTTTCTCGAATACGAGGCAGCGAGGCGACCTCAGCAGCAACCCGCACAATGTGAAAGACCCCCGGATCAGCAAAGACACCCACAGAGGCCTAAATCCAGCTTAGACATAGTAAACCCGTCAGACACGACTAATGACGGTTACTTTTACTCCGAAGAAAGGTACGTGCGCATAAATTTACGTGGGTCATTTGAAAAGTTTTCAGAATGAAAAAAAAGAATTTATCTCTCTCTCTCTCTCGCTCTTTAAATAATTTTACTTTTCAATGTAATTTCTCTAACATCAATGCGCTCGAATCACGACACTCTAAAGTCATTACATCGTTACGAAACTTCGATTCAAGCTTGCAAAATATTTGTAAACTGTTTCCTTCATTTCTTCATTTAATGAAAATCTTTTTCTAGAAAAGAACTTTTTTATTCGTTTTTTTTTTTTTGTACACAATTCGCAAGCTGAGGTATAAAATGCACGTTTCGTCTGAGTTCGCTGCGGCTTTAACGGTTTCGGAAACTTTTAATCAATGATTTTCTAATATCTCTATCGATGCCGCTCGTGCTTCATTCTGAGAATTTTCCAAATGACTTATACACTTCCCAAATTTCATACAAACATGAAGAGAGAAAAAATCGAAGACAGTCATTTTTTTTACGCTCTGCCTGTATTCGTGCTTAGATACGCAGCGCAGATGCGGCAGTCCGCGGTGTATTTACATCAGACGCCGCAGCATTATCAGCAACAGAGGAATCAGTCCCTCTCGCGCGTCACGATGCAGCAGAAACTGCCGGGTGTCCGTGATAAAGCCGACGAAAGTAGAATATCCACTTTGCCGGATTCCTCTTGTCCCGCTTTGCGACGCACGCAGCGGGATCACGTTCATCAGCAACACACTATGCCCGCTCAGTCGCTGACGCAGAGACATTCCGAGTGAGTCACAGTACACTGTCCGAATAAATAATTAAGCCGTAATCACGGAAAGCCCGTTTTAAAATTCTGTCGACTCGAATAGTTTCAAAATGCCGCTTAAGTTACGATTATCGTCCGCGCTTATCAAAACATATTATTGTCGCCTGGACGCATCTTAGAAATCGAAGCGCATACTAATTGTAAGACGCTAAATTTGTTAATAAATTTGTAGAAACTTGTACTTCATTACTTTATACTAATTTTGATTCTCTGAAGAAGTTGAAGAGTTCGTGACAAAAACAAACCCCTGTCAATGTTTTCATTTTTTCGGCAGAAGAAAAATATATTCTCTCTCTCTCTCTCTCTCTCCGTCATCCTTGAGTTTTCAATAGAATCACCCAAACTTCCTAGCAATATAAATCAAGACAGTTGTTTTTATGAGAATTGACGCAATCACGCTGTAAGCTCCACCTGTGACTACTAAAATACGCTGTTGTTTCAATTTCTTCAATTTTTGATAAGGGTTGTTTTATGTTATAAACTCTTTTCAATTATAAAACAGAGCGCTAGAATATTACAGTAAGCGTTTTAAAGTTATAAAATAGCTTTTTCCAATTTATAAATACGTAAAAAACTCACATCCGGTTGAAATAAAGTAAAAATGAACAATCCTCTCCACCCTTTCTTCCCGTACTGAATCATGAATATTACATGGATAATATATCGTGGGGAAAAAGCGTATTTAACATCGAATGGTCCTTCTGTTAGGATTATGGGCGCCGATCCGAAACTCCGAAGATCGCTGCGCGAGAAGAGCTGCGAGGTAAACGGCCGCGAGTCGCTGACGCACGAAGACAACACGATCCCTCGAAGAGTGCCGCGCAGCGAATACGACGGGTGGGGACGAACGGGAGGTCACGGTACTCATGGGACTCACATCGCTCAGACGTGTCACGTTGGCCACGCAGGTGGCAGCGGCAGGCGATGGAGCGAGCAGCAACAGTTCTACAGATCGGCGTCGGCGCGGCTGCCGAGGACGCGACATCCTGCCGCCCTTGATCCTGATGACGACGACTACGCCGAGAGATCCTCCGAGCAAGATTCGCGGGATGGCGAACGCAAGATTCAGCAGGTAAGATTTAAAATTTGCCATTCTCAGAAAATTTTTTTTTTTCAAAGCGTTATTGTATAATTTTCGTCCTGTCATTAATATGTTGAATTACGCTTCTCAGTCTTTAATTTTTATGATTTATCTAAAAACCTCAATCTTTCTTTATATTTCAAAGAAACTTGCTTTGTAATAAAATCAAATTAGTAAATATATGTTTTATAACTAATTAAGGAATTGAGTAAAGAAATAAAATAATGAAATTGACTTCTTAGATTGATCTTATAGCGAAATACATAAAATTTATCCTACAAATTGCGAATTGGACGGGTAAATTTATTTTCCCATTTGTGCAAATTAATAACGTTAGAGTTTTCTAACGTAAAAATATGTTGTCACAACATTTTCATTAAATGCTTCGAATTCCTCTGCTTCGTTTGTATCCCGGAAGGTCTGAGATGAGTCACGAAATATCTTTTCTTTGAATCGGTAGCTCGTCAGGTCATCAGCATTGCTCGTATCACCTCGTACAAGACCCATCGCGTCGGTAACATCGGTGGACGAGTGTGAATCATGCTGTGTTGCATAGCTACATTTACCTTACGTCATCTTGGCTTTCCCGTGTCTTTGCTTTCACCATCGTTCACTCGATCGTCATCGCTATTATTGCATTAATACAATTATATATATAAATCTTTTACATTTCCTTGTATTTAATATTTTCAAAATTATTTATCGCTAAGGTCGGTCGAAAAATTGATCTTCTCTGGATATTAAATCCCACGATATAGAAAAAAGGCTTTTCTTTTCATGCGAGTTAACGATCGTCACGTGTTTTAGCGCGAAGAGTCGATGAAGCGGTTACTAGAATGGAAGCAGCGTATGCTGCAGTCCCCGTTGACGCGAAAGCCATCCGGTTCTGCGAATCGGGGCAGGGCGCAGAACGATCTTTCGAGTTACTACAAGCAACAGGCGCTGCTGGATTTAGCGGCGCACGAGGCCGCCGTCGCGGAGGGTCGTCACTCACGTAGGCGGGAAGACGGGCATCGTTCGCATGTCAGGAGCAAAAGTTCGGACGGCCGTCGGACCGCCGTCAATGTGCCACGCTACAACAGCTATTCCAGCGATGACGAAGGTAAGGACAGTTCGCCTGAACTTATTATTTAAGCGATAGCTTCGTCGCTCCGCGTAAACGAGGGACCCGATCGAAATATTGAAGATCGCGCGGACAATTAACTTTTTTCGGATGTAAACGCATGCATGGCAACACATTGAAAACGAGGCGTGTGTGTGTGTGTGTGTGTTTGAATTACGCGAACATCGCGCGAAAGAAGTGACGAGCGTTTCTCCGAAAACACGCGAGTAGATCGCACTGCTTTTGCAACGAAAAAAAACTTGATCAATTTTTCGCTTCAAATATTTTGATTTCCGCGAGTCCCTCGAGAACGTGTCTGCTATGTATTCAGTTAGAAGTAGATAGTTGTCCCAAGCTAAAAGTTTTAATACGAATTCTAACACGGAAGTATTTAATCGCTAACACGAAGAAAAAATGTGCATATTGCTCGCGAGAACAAAGGCATTTTTTTTCACGAGAACGCACGTCGAGAGTTTTTATATTTTTGTGAATGGTGCTCGTATAACTGACATATCTCAACGCATTGTGTCAGCCGATTTTACATCGGTTCTTATTTACAATAAACAAATCACTAGCATGTTTGCTATTTCAATGATATACGCAAAGATATATTATAGTCTAACGAAAATGTTCGGCCGAGTGTGCGAATATTGCAATCGATGCGAAAGGTGCCTGAATTATTCACGAATATTGTGTACCGTTCGAAATCGAGAGTTGCTTTTCCTTCATTTTTGTTTGTTGTACTAATATAATCGTCGAGGAAAATGTAGACGTATTCGACGAAATGCGATGTGAAAAACGAGAGGAAATTAGAAAAATCATGGAATATCTGCGAACGTCTCTCCACGGGGCTCCTTCTATCTGCTGTTGTTGGGTCTGACTGGTGACTGGGAACGATTAACAATCTCAAAACTTAACTTAGACGATCGAATGTGTCGGTATCGACTCAACATCGATCATAATCAGACTACCGTAGAAGATATGTGGGTCAAGCATGGCATGCCAAAGAATTTCACTAACACTACTCGCCGTAGCTACGCAATTGCGATCGCATCTACCTTCCAGCTCGCGTGTCCGCTACCTACGATTAACAGCAAAATTAGTCATTCGATTATCGGGATCATTGCACGGTCGAAAATACGACGAATCGAATCGTGGCGACGAGAGATTTTTCATCGTTTCATTTCACTTACTTTACTTCAATTCTTATGAGATATTTTTTCCACGCAAGTGACTTATTTTTTTTTTTTTCAATTATAGGTGATTAACATAAATTAACGTTTGTTTGCCGATCAGTGCAATGATCTACGATGTCGTTGTCGCGCTTGTCGGCGAGTTTGCTTAGATTTCTGATGATGGGTATAAAAACGGGAATGTAATATAATTTGGGCTGTTCCTTTCTCACTCACATACACATACTCGTAAGTAACGGACGAACTCGTGTCTTTGTGTTTTGTAACGAACAAATCAGAGCTGGGAGATGTCCGGAGGAAGCGTACGCGCAGACCCTCGCATGCAGGAAGGAGCCCCCGGCACACTGGCGACGATCGGTCATCGGCGGCGACGACGGCCGTCCAGGATGGCGCAGTAACTGGCCGCGCGAGCGTTAATCAGACCCCGCGCTCGCAAACGCTTAACGCTCGCAAAGCAAGCTCGGAGGGCGCGTACTATTCGTCGGGCGGCATACCGCCGGACGCGGGCTACGACGAGGTGAGCTTCCCGCCGCCGATGAGAAACGACTATGCGTACGCGTCGTCGTCGGCGGCGGCGGCGACGGCGGCGGCGGCGGCGGACAGACAATCGTCGTCGAGGAGATCGGAAGCCACCTTCGAGGATCCCGCGATCAAGCACAAGACCCCGAGGAAACCGCTCGGTATCCTGAAGACGTCAACCGCTTACAGCTTCGATCAGCAGCACGTCGACGGACAGCAAGCCGGCAGCAAAATCGACGGCGGTAGATCGGATGGTTTGTGCGCTTACCGGACGAGCGAGTCCTGGCACGCTCAGAAGAACGTGCAGTGGGATAACTCGAAGGACGATAACGACGAATGGGATCCCGGCATCGACGAGAGCAAAGTCGTCAAGGAATTCTCTTATCAGTATATTAATCCTAAAAAGGTGGCGCAATCGAGAGCGGAGGATGAGAGCGAGAAACCGGAGACCATGAATCTGGTTCAGTGCAGAATTAGATCCTTCGAGATGAACATGGACGGCGCGAGTCCCGTGAAGGAGGTGTTATCCATGCAGGAACCATTGAAGGTATCGCCGCTCCAGTCGACGGAGGCTCACGTTTCAAAGCTCGACTGCGCGAACAAGACGTCGTCCGCAGTGATACGCAGCTTCGCTTTGGGCTCCGAATCGAGCGCCGCGGAGAGCATTCTCAGGAACAAGAGCGTGGAGGAGGGACATGCCAAGCAAGCTTCGACCGACAGCAACAAGTCGGTGAAGGATCTGCTGGCGGATTTCGAGCGCAAGTCGCAGCAGATCAGCCGAAAGTGCGAGAAGCGGCAGCAGGAATCGAAGCATCACGCGGACTACGGCGGGAATTACGGCGAAACGTCGCGGCAGTACGACGTCGGCGGTGATTCGGATCGTCGGAACGACGACAAGTTCGCGGACAAGCGAGACGACGCCGATGTTGCGCAATGCTTCCCTCCCGACGCTCTCTACGCGAGTTCCGCGCGGATGCCGAGTTCCAACGAGTGTTCGGAGCTGAGCAAAGTGGGCGGTTCGAGGGACAGCTTGAGCGAGCGATGCGCGCTGTCATCCGACGAATTGGACGTCATCTCGAGCTCGAACTGCGCGAGGGCGAGTGTGACCGAGTCGTTGGTGACGCACAGCGATCAATTCTGCCTCGGCGATCTGAAGCAGGACGATGCGAGCAGCGATATTAACGAGGATCACTACCTACCGATGACGCCCAGGAAGGCCATACTCGACCCGAACAGCGACGACAAGCCGAATCCCACGATAATGGAGAGCCTGTTCGGCACCCTGGTGCACGAGGAGAGCTCGTACGTGGAGATGGCGCAGAACGGGATGAGCCACTCGCTTCTGGCGCCGAGCGAGAACGGCGGCAAGCACGATTCCGGCGATTACTCCACGCTGGACGCGTCGCACTACGAGTTCGTCTGCGTGTCGGACAGCAAGATGGAGCCGGTGTACATGGAGGTGAGCCAGCTGTCCGAGAAGGAAGACGAGGACGGCGGGAGCAAGACGTCCTCGTCGACGACGAAGAAGAAGAAGAAGAAGAGCAACGCGAGCGAAAGCTCGTCGCATTCGAGAAGCGACCTGCCCGACATTCTCACGGCGCTCAAGTCCGACAGCTCCGACGCCGACGACGAGTCCTCCAAGGATCTGGACTCCATAGACGCGCCGCGGCACCCGCGATTCAGTCTGTCCGACACTTTCCGCCCGGCTTCCTATTATCTCGGCGCGAGCCGCAACATGATCGCGGAGCTGCACGACTCGTCGGACAGCGAGCTCGTCTCGCCGCCGCCGATACCGACCTCGCCGCTGCCGCTCGACGATCTCGACTCGCTGGACATGCAGGAGTCGCTGGAGATGAAGAAGGTCTCGCCGCAGGTGGCCACGGCGAAGGACGGCGCGTTGTCGAGCCGCGATTCCCCGAAATGTTGGAACAAACCGGCGGGTCAGGTGGAAACGCCGCACAGGCCGCCGTCGAGGTTCTCGGACGCGACCATCAGTTCCACCTTCAGGGACAGCAGGATATCGCTGGAGAGCGCGTCCGGCAGCGACTCGATCGATCTGAGGAATCTCGAGGCCGAGGAGGCGCGTCACAGACAACTGAAGAGGCGACCGGTCAGCGACGACGTTTGCGAGGTCCTCGACAGCCTGGACGAGCTGGAATCGCTCGGGAGCCGCTTCGACGGCGCGAGCATCGATCTCGATCGATACCTGGAGGAGCTGCAGGCGAGAGACGCGTTCAACGTGGATCTCTACAGGAAGGTGCCGAGCTACAACGGCATTTACGGATTCAACGAGAACATGCTCGTGGTCGACAAGCTGCAGAAGACGACGTGCCAGGATCTCTCGAGGAAGATGAAATTCGTGTCCAGCAATCTCGACCGGCCGTTCGACTATTCCGGCAGGAACAAGACCGGCTCGGCGAGCAGCCTGCCGTCCATGAGAGTGTCGGATCTGCCGCCGGCGCATCAGCACTCGCAGTCCTTCACCGGCGACGCCCATTACGAAAACGTGGCGAGCTTCTCGCCGCTTCGCGGATCGCCGGCGGTCCGGCCGTCGGACGGCGAGCCGTCGCGCGACAGCGCGATCCACAGGATGCGCGGCGCGTCGCCGGCGGCCGCCTCGCACAGCCGCGACTCCAGCTACTCGAACGCGGCGTCCACCTCGACGTCGATGGCCTGTCAGAGGCCGGCGAGCGCGCAGTCCTCGTCCTCGTTGAACCACGGCGGCGCGCTGGCGAGCCTGCTGCAGAACGCGTACCCCGACCAGAGATTCCCCAATCACTCGCGATCCGCCAGTCACGACACGTGCGTGCGGCACGCTCTGCTGCCGCCGAGCCATCGATCCACCTCCAGCCAGGACTCGAGCCACTATCCCGGCCCCGACTGCGGACCGCCAAGTCCGTTTTACAGCAGTCGTATTTGCCGAACGTCAGCGACCAGCGCGGCCACGGCGATCAGTCGGGCGCGCCCTATTACTACTCCGACCTCCAGGCGAGTGTCAGCAGCGCGGACATGGCGGAGTCGTCGGCGAAGCCGACGATCGGCCATACCTCGCGACTGCCGCAGCTGAATAATCAGAGGGACGACGCCGCGACCGGGTTGAACAAGCGAAACGACATCGGTCGGATCGTGAATCCGATCGCGCGGCAGCTGCCGCGACAGATCCAGGTGGACGACATAGACGAGGCTAGACGCATCGCCGCGGAGCTGAGACGGACGACCTGTCAGCTGCTGGGCGACAACAAGGCCGCTCTCGTCGACAAGCGCAACTTTTACGAGGCCGACACGCTGCGCCGGGTCAAGTCCACCGATCCGCTGCCGGACCTGTCGCTGCCCGAGGCCAGAAACTTGTATCCTCACGGTCTGCGAGACAAGTCCGTTAATCCGGGCAGCGTCGATAGCGCCGAGCCGACGTTGCACGTCGCGCAAACGTCTCATCGTCGCTCGAGGTCTTTGGAGGGATTACTCGATGACGTTGGTCTGCAGAATTTAGTGGACCAGCGAAACCGGGCTAATCGGGCGGCCGCGGCCGCGGCGTCAGCGGCGGCCGCGACGGCTTCGACCAGCCAGGTCGAGATAACGTCGCGGAACATGTCGTTATCCGGCGATCACGGTGTCACGGCCAATAGCAGTTTCAACGCCGAGGACCCCTGGGAGCAGGACAGTCTGTGGCGCGAGAGTCTGAGAAGGGTGAGTCTGCGGAACGCCAGATCCTTGGACAATCTCGACAGTCCGCCGAGACCCGGCAGATACGGCGACGCCAAGATGACGCGCGGCAGGATCACCCGCGGGGCGACCTACGTGAACGACAGCGTCGTTCTGCGGCGGGACAACTGCGCCGAGGAGCCGTTGTCCTGCGACCGCGAGCGACCGCGGGTCAAGCGTAGAACGAACAAGGATCACCAGACGCGGGAGCAATCGATCGGCGACGTCGCCTACGAGAGCCTGTCGATGCAACGAATCGGCGCGGGCGGCTACGTGTGGGATCCGCAGAGCGAAGCTTACCGCAAGCCCACCGCCGCAGACGCGAATCATTTTTTAGAGGACGGCAACCTTCCCCCGGCTCGCTCGAACCCGGACGCCCGTATGTCCGCCACGTCGTTCGAGCTCGACCGAGAGAAGCTCCGCCAGTGGGACCTGTTGTCGAGCGCCTGCTTACTCCAGGAGCAGCAGCGCACCTCGATGGCGGACTCGGGGCGAGGGTTGCCGGTCGCAGAGCAACCTGGAGACGCGCGCGATCCAAGGCTCGCCGCCGTCGTCGCGGCGACGACGACGGCGACGACGACGACGGCGACGGCGATAACGACGACGACGACGACGATGACGGTGACAATGTCGACGGCAACGACAACGACGACGACGACGACGTCGACGACGACGACGACGACGATGGGCACGGCGATCGGCAACGAGCGGATAGACGTTATCGTAAAGCCAATCGATACCGCGGATGTACGCGAAGACCTGCCGACGAGGATATCGAAGCAGGAGCCGTGTAAACGGGTTGCAGGTGAGTGGCTCCTCAACAACGCTGCAGTGTACAGACCGTGACTGCACGAGGCCGTGTTCCAAATCGCCGAGCTACCCGTTCAACAGGCCGACTCGTTCCACGTGACCACGGATTTTATGCGATGGATCTTTAATCCTAAATAATAGAAGCTATGATATACGAGAAATACCTCCTCGGATATTCTCTTAGCCGTAGATTTTCCAATAAGTTTCGTTCAAAGTTACATTTCATTTTTACAATTCAATATCCTGATAAATAATTTGCATTAAATTACAGCAACTTACCGCTTTACCTGTCGGCGGAAGCACTCGATAATCCTCCATCTTGCAAAAATTATTTTTTACGCATTTATGTTCATCATTCTTCTTATCGAGTTCGAGTTTCCGAGAGAAAACTGCAGTAATTGTGCAAAATTGTCTCAATAGTTTAATCGAACGATAAGCTCGTTGTTTAGGATTAAATTCGATGTCTTCGCTACCAAATGTACCTGCGCTTGCGGTGGTTTGCACAGTGATGCAATCACTTTTTTGTTGTTGTAATTATAAACCAGGCCGAGATCCAATTCGCATCTAATCATTACGATTCTCTTTCATCGCCGATATTAGATATTCTTTTTTTTTTTAAACTACTTGTCACCGATATAAAATATTACTATTCGAAGATGAAATGAGTGTAAATATAATATTAACTTACAACAACTGAGAATGAATAATCACAGATTGTGCGTGACATGTGCAACAGATCCCATTAAAAAATAGAGAAAGATTCGAATCCTACAGAAACACTTTTCGGGAAAAATCTGTTGGATCTTGATATCTTATTCAATTTTAAGAACATCTCGAGTCTAAGAATCTCCTTTTCTTTCGCCACACTAGTTTGTTGAATTCTAGAATCAGTTTGGATGCAGATATAATTTAGAACGACGTGGGTAGAGTTTCACGATCGATGCCAGTTGGAACACGGCCTGGTGTGTGAATGTATGAGTGATTGCGTTTGCAAAACAATTATTTAGAAACGCGGTTTAGTTCATTGCAATTATTTACCGTGATTATTCGTCACAGTGGACAACGCATACGGAAAATCGGATATGGAACAACAAGAGAACAATTAATTTATAACAATAGCAATATACAAATAATAGTAAATTAAATCTGTGCTATTAGGGAATATACGAAGCTGCCGACTGCGTAAATATTGTATGTGTGTAAGCGCGAGTGTATTTTTAGAATATTTATCGTTTAAGTTTGTTCTATGATCGCTAAAAAAAAATTAATGTATATAATCCAAGACGATTATATTTCTCACTTAATTTCGCTCGTTTGCTAAAAATAAAAGTTGAAATCGTGCCAGTTAATTGACTCGAAATGTAAGTGCGTAAGTAATGACATTATCGATACGATAAGGGTAATATTTTTTCACCAAGAGTGTTAAACAAACGTTGTTGATTTCCTTCAATGAAATCTAATCGATCTCTCGTCCAAGATTTGAAATTCGTGCGGGATCTCATTCTCACGCGTGCGATGTTTCTTCTTTTTTCAATTTCAAATTCGACACGAAATCGGCATTGAGTCGCGAATTATTTTGTTGGGACAAACGTTTTTGGAATGATATCGATAAAATTATCGATGAGACTGCGCGCGATGCCGCTTAATTCAGTTGCCTAGGCAATTTGCCAAGATGTATCGTCGCAGTGTTTCATCGTCGCGAAGCATAGAATTCGAAATAGCTTTCTCGAAAATGTCTCTCTCGATCAAACTCAAAGATTAATGAAGCTAGGGAATACAATGTATGCTATCAGCAATGACGTTATTATTAATTATCTCAGAAATTCATTCAACCAGTTAAGGGACTCAATCGAACTACTTTAAGCATTCATAAACATATGTATATAGTTCGTTATGCATAAAGTGTATAAAAAGATATTTGACTTGTTATATAATACACACAATTGCTTTTTACGCATGCTAGATAATTTTTATAGCATTTTTAATCACTTAAATCTCAACAAATTGAAAAATAATTGAAAGAATCATACAGTTATGTAGTTCAATACGATAACATTTCACATAAAAATATTTGTTTCACCGAACAATTTTGCTTTATCAGATTTTCAACAATAAATATTTGAAATGTCTAAAATAAACGAAACAAGAAACGAACCGAGTGAAATGTACCAAAGGTAAGTTCTAATATTTTCCATTTATTCGACAAATGTAAATTCACTTGTAACAAATAGAACGAAGAACCGAATTGGCTCCGAACGGTCGAAATATCTCTGACAAATTGGTGAAATTAATGTGGCAATTTCGACGAGATTTATTCGCGCTAAGAACGAATACATACTTTTCTCCGTTTCGAGTGAAAAGTTTCTCAGGGTTCGAATTGATTTCTAAATATAAAATGTCACTCGGCCAATGATGTCATGCTTCTCTTCAAGTACGACAAGCATTTTTAAAAAAGCTATGCGCGCGATTCTTTGAATTTATGTAATCTACCATGAGAAAGAAAGTAGGTGATATGTAAAATTGATGTAATTACGGCGTAATTCATTACCCGTTATTACCGTCCCTGGCATAAAAATTCAAGCGCAAGGAGGTCGCAATCTCATTACTCCCGATTAAACGTTCATTCGCGTCCTCCAGCATATCTGACAATTAATCGGAAGCGATTAATCACTCTAATTAATTTTCTTCGGAGATTCGCCGTCAGTTGATTTTCTTCGTGGAAGATGACGCTAAGGCCACTTGAGTGACAATCGGCGCGCGCTCTCGAGACCGTCCTTACGTTTTCCGTTGCCGTCACGCGTTATTCGCGCGTCACGTACTTTAATAGTGAATGGTTACGTATAGTTGCAGCTCGGGGAGCTTCCTCGGTGCATGCGAACGACTTTCCAGCGTCTATCGGCGAGTGAAAAGTCCGTCGTTGCATCGGTCGCTAACATCGCGCGGCGAACGCAATATCGTAACTGCATCTGCGCGACACGAACAGCAATAGCGCTATAAGTACGTCGTCGTCTTCGGTGACTTGTTCGTTGCACTTTGCCTCGGGTTCAATAACATGCGCGAACGGCCATCCGATGTAGATAGCAGTTGTGAAGCGCGATATCTATGACTTCGTCGCATCGATTTCTCGCGGGATCGTTAAATATCGACGAGAGGGAGAGAAGCGCGGCCACGGTCGTCTTTCGACTACGTCGACGATCGATTGCGTCTTGCCATCGCGTGAGAAGTTTTTCGCTCTTTCTTTCTTTTTTTGATACGTTTCCCCTTTGTGGAACTTCAGAAGAAACGCTACAGTGTACGATACTCCATAATTAAAGTCTCGCCGGACTCGTGCTGGGTGTTTCCGATTTCGTGGAATTAATAAGAAGGGCTATCTCGGTCGGAGCCACTGCGAAGGAATTGGTTCCTGACGGGATAATATTGGGTCGGTATTGGACAACTGGATGGATCGCTACGTACGTTTCGCCGGACCGAACGAAAGTCCGAAAGAGAAATTTCACCTAATCGGATGTGTTCCGAGACTTTTATTTTTAACCTTAGATCCTTCAAATTTATCCCGACGTTGCGATAATAGCGCTGTTTTAAACGCTAACATATTTAGCATCGAGAATTTTGACATTGTCGATATAAATTTAATTGGCAATATTCGATAATAGAATAAAATACATTTGTGTTGCAGAAATATCTCTCTCTCTCTCTCTCTCTGAATTCGTCGAAATAGATTTTACTTTCTGCCGTTGTCTCGTAAAATCTGCTTTTGCCACTTTAATACAGTGATATAAAATTATAGATATGCGTCTAGCTGACGAAAGCACTATGCTACGTGAAATTATAATTTATACGCGAAAGGAACGCAGAGACACCCGAGAATAGTGAAATATTTTTACAACGTAATCGTTGAAACTTCGACGCGCTTGTGATTGGCACTTCGGTAATGCGATTCTACTCATCGAGCCATTGGCTGCCATTGACCTCGGTGAAAAATCAAACCTTTATCGTTTGCCAAAGCCACAACACGTTCAAACATGAAAACTCATTTATCACATTCTGAGTTAGGAAAAATGAACACTATCTCGCGAAACAGCAATCGATCTGCGTAAAAACACAGTTGTAGCGCCCGTTACGGAATGTAATTGCATAAAAATCAAATTTTCGATAAAAAGAATAATCGACTTTAAATTAATAAAAAATCGCACTTCACAGTTTATCGGAGAGTTTTCACGTGTATAGGATTTGTTTTAAAGCATAAAATAATTTAAGACAAAAATTGAAAATGATACAAACACCGCGATGTGAATATAGAATAAAAAGAATCAAGATGACAGTTAAGCGCGTGTGCTAATATAATAATGTTGCTATAATAAATAACGAGAGGAGCGCCAGAGCGATATTTCCGTATTCAACAGCATGTCACGAAGGTCGTTGAGTGTGGAAAGAAGGATAACAATCTTGATTAAGTAATCGTATACCCACTCGTGAAATAAAGCAGCGTTATATCAAGTTCCAACGGGGTGCCACACGGCGCTTAGAGCGTTTTATTTTTGACAGCTCCGACGATGTGCCATATTGTGAGAAGAGAAATAACACCGCGTTAATCCAGCCTGTTATCGGAAATTGTTTAATTCCAGCAGTTGGCGAAGCTCTCGAAATAGCAAGATTTCGCTAACGAAGCATAGCAGTGAATGCATAACTTCAGCGAGATATCGATATCTTTATTCATTCAAAAGCGATGAATTTTTAGTTTGGAAAACGATATTCTTATGTCACATTTCTATCATTTATAATTAAAGCAGAAAGTGTTCAAAATTATGACAGGCGTAATTAATGTAACTTATCAATATTTACTAACATTTTTATTTAGCATTTCGATTGCTGTGTGTGTGCGCGCGTGTGTGTGAGCTGGTATCGATCTTCAGTTACAAATATATTTAATTAGTATATTGAATAGAAGCGAAAATGAAATCATATCACTTGAGTTTAATTGTCCAAATTCTTTTC